ATACTCAACACAGACTCTGTCTGTGATAGGAGGCATATGCACTTAACTCTCACAAGCACCCACTAGTTTCATTTCTTGATGCTCATATCTGTTCTGAGCGAGAATTATATATTTGTGACTATCGAAATTATACTCTTTCCATTAGGTCCACTTGGAAACTGCGTCGTCTTCCACCCCCGGAATTGGAATTATTCATGCTAACGGTTCACTTCCCCATCAAATGAATGCATCCACGCCAAGGATGTTCGCTACTTCTAGCGCTAACTTATCAGAACGTCTTCCTAAAGACAATCCTGCTTCTGATATGTTAATCGACTCGTTTGGGAGGCTCCACACTTACTTGAGGATCTCCTTGACAGAACGTTGCAATCTCCGCTGTCAATACTGTATGCCTGCTGACGGTGTGGAGCTCACCCCCAGCCCTAAACTTCTTTCACAGACTGAGATTCTTCGCTTGGCAAAGCTGTTTGTAAGCTCAGGAGTAGACAAAATTCGTTTGACTGGAGGGGAGCCAACCGTAAGGAAAGATATTGAAGACATATGTTTAAACTTATCTAACTTGAATGGATTGAAAACGCTGGCCATTACTACCAATGGAATTACTCTTGCAAGAAAACTTCCCAAGCTCAAAGAATGTGGCCTTACTGCTCTCAATATTAGCTTAGACACGTTGGTCCCTGCAAAGTTCGAATTTATGACCAGGCGTAAAGGTCATCAACGGGTTATGGAATCAATTAACGCTGCCATAGAACTTGGATATAATCCTGTTAAAGTATGTTTCTTTCTCTTAAACTTGTACTACTATTTTCATTTCCTCTGAACTTTGCATACACTAATATCATGCACAAGTGCCATTCATTATATGCTTTCTATTCTATTATTCAGGTAAACTGCGTGGTTATGCGTGGATTCAATGATGATGAAATTTGTGATTTCGTAGAGCTGACACGTGAAAAACCGATTAACATTCGATTCATTGAATTCATGCCTTTTGATGGAAATGTTTGGAATGTTAAAAAACTTGTACCCTACTCGGAAATGTTGGATACAGTGGTAAGGTAGAACTCGGACTAAGAATCCCGCAAATTGATTTCTTAATGCCTTTATACATCCCTCACCTCACTTGCTATTAATGAACAGGTAAAGCGTTTTACAGGTTTAAAGAGACTTAAGGATCACCCAACAGATACGGCCAAGAATTTCAGGGTAGATGAACATGTTGGAGTAGTTTCTTTTATCACATCAATGACTGAGCATTTTTGTGCGGGTTGCAATAGACTGCGACTCTTAGCTGATGGGAACTTCAAAGTTTGCTTGTTTGGTCCTTCAGAGGTGAATTGTCTCCCTGTTTAAGCTTTTGGCTTAGTACTAGAATTTGACAAGTATTATATGCAGTAAACTAGCATCATCATTTCCGATATTTTTCTTTCTGCCATGGACTCTTAAGAATACTTTCAGGGATTTATGCATATACTATTTTTGCTTAAGCAATCCATCTAGCTTTTTGGACAGATTGATGCTTACTTTTTTGCAAGTCAAGTGCTAAGTTTGCTTAGTGCACCACTGATACAGGACTGGACCAGAAACATACAAAGGAAAAGAAAAGATTGTGCTCGGTTACTATTCATAGTACCATAGTAGCACTTATCATTAGGTTTTTGTGTCCTTTTGTGTTCTTTGTATTGGGATTTTAGATGGTTTAAGGGCAAGGGTTTATTCCTATTAAGGATTTTGCGCTCCATCTTCTTATAGTTATATACAATCACCTAGTAGTAGTACTATACTCCTTACTTCTTGTTATTAAGATAGCCTTTGGTAGCTATTAGCCACCCTCCATATTTCTCAAACATGCTTACCTTTAAATTTTTGTAGCTCAGGGTAAAGGTGGTCCACATTTTAGTATTCTGGCTATAAGAAGCTTCCCCCTTTTTTAGGTTTTTCATATCTATTACCGGATAGGCTATGTGCTCAAAATTATTAAAGGGAAGAAGCCATTGTAGTCCAAATTTAATAGATAATATATGGGTACTGAACTGGGATGTATTGATAGCCATGAAGGGTAAGGGATCTCTGAAATTGGGGTGCTGATCAGTACGGACAGTGACACTAGACTTATCTCACAGAAGATCATAGGCTTTTCTGGCAACTTTGCTGGACTACATCTATAGAACTGAAATTTTTGATGAACACAACATTATCTCCTGCACATCAACTAAAAGCTCACAAAATCATAGTTGAAATTTAACAAGCAATAAAAGAAATTCAAGAAACACCAGAGTAGAAAGTGTGATTCTTTATTTTTGATGAAGATCCTCTATCTGTATGTTATTCTTCCTAAATCTATATTTTTCTCCACGAGGCTTTTTTTTTAATCTCTTTTGTTTTGCTTTTGGTTTTGTTTGTGGTCTACTTATATTAGCTTTAAGTTAAGGCATTAGGAATATGTGCAACAGAAATTTTAAATAATACTTTCCTGTTATTAAAATAAGATGTTTAATTTGCAGGTCAGCTTAAGAGATCCTCTTCGTGATGGTGCTGATGATCACGAGCTGAGAGAAATAATCGGGTCAGCGGTATGTGCATGATAATTTGTTCAGAAATGCTCGATGCTTCAATGATCGAATTGTTTTGTGTTTGATCAAAAGTTCATGTTCTCATGCAAAATTCAGCTTTCAAGCTTTCCTGGTATGGATTTTGAAGCCTTCTTTTCGTGTTTGCTATAGGTAAAGAGGAAGAAAGCTTCGCACGCCGGAATGTTTGACATTGCGAAGACGGCGAATAGGCCTATGATACATATTGGTGGCTAATGCTTGGTATGACCTCCATTCACGAAATTCTATATTGCCAATTTCTTCAAAGGAAACATCTACAGATTTAGTGGTAAAAACTTGATCCACCTTAATCTAGCGAGAGTGATACAAAATGGAATAACTGTATCTGCAGGTTCTGTAGAATATAAACTTGGACGCAGAGAGCATAAACAGAGCTGTCTGTCATATTTTGTAGTGCCGATCTAAGCCTCTCATTAAAGAGTGGAAAGAACATGTTGGTGATATTTGTTACTGGGGCTGCTGGCATCTGGATAAGCAAGCTGAGAGATACTTGAGCCAGGACAAGAAAAAAGATGTTGGTTTTGTACTTTTAGATTTCCTCTGATCTTTGTTGGCATTTATGCTGAAAGAAACATTTTCCCTTGTAACCTATATTATGTATTATCGAAGGAATAAATGGCAAAATTGTATTGACTGAGCAATTGTTCGTAGTTGTGTGTAATCTTTCCGATGAACAAGCATTCATTTTCTCATGTCCCTTACTTGTTCTACAACTGCTGATATGGGATTATACGTAGTTTGCACTAGCTACGGCTACTTAATTAAGAAACTCTCTAGAGAGATGATATAGTTAGTCATTCATCTGTAAGTAAATCCATGGGGATGGAGGAAGATGTTAATCAAGAACGAAGTTAAGGAAATCCAGTACTTAACTCTTCGATGAAGCCATCCGAATCTGAGAAACCATGCAACAAACCGTTTATCTTCTCACTCTGCAGGTCGCCCGACAACGATGTGGATGATCTCCCCGCGTAGTTGAGAGAGAGAGAGAGATGGAGGAATTGTTTTATAAAGGAGGTAGTAGTATTAATATTGAACAAGTTGCTGCAGGCCATATAAACCATAGAAAGGTAAGATCCCTCATCCTCCTCCATTCCCCATTTGAAGGCTTTCGGCTAAAGCTAGCGACAGAAAAAAAAATAATAATAACATATATATATATATATATATATAAAGAAAAAAAAAAGGGCATGCACTGCACGGATACAGGTACAATGATTGGAGGGTCTGCATCTGCATGCAACTTAATATGATGTGCACGTACGCACTTGAGTGCAAACGTTAATGTTGCAGACTGCAGTTGGGGTGAAATGACATTTACCAATCAATCCATATTCCATTGTGTTGTACTAGAGGGAGATGGATTGTCTGCCCTCCCCTTTCCATAGCCTTCTCATGCTCTCTTGTTTTGTGCGGTCACGGTTAAGCTACGTTAATATTTTATATTAATTTTTTTATTAAAATAATAAGACAAAAAGAAAATGTTGACATAGCTTAACCGTGACTGTACAAAACAGGAGAGTATGGGAAAGGTACGGAGAGGGGAGGGCAGACAATCCATCTCCATACTAGAGACGATAGCACCACTCCTACTGCAAGTCTGCCAACAATTCGACTTGAATCAGCTGCAACACACCAAACCCGTGCAAGAGAAGACGGAAGGCCCAGTGAACTAATTCTTGGTTTCACGTGGCAAGATGGTCCCCTTGAAGATTAGATTGCCTCTACTTCACTTGTGGTTTTGTTTGTCCCCACGACCACGAGACTACTGATTTATCGAGCTACCACATGATACATTTATTTTCAGCAGGCGTACAACCACAACCCACAAGATACGATCGATCTTTAGACAAGGTACACACACGTATGTAGTGGGCCAAAACTCATCCCTTCATTTGTTTAGGCCTTTTCATGGAAGATTGAACCACGTAAATGCTCTACTCGAGCCCCCTTCCCCCAAACAAACTTCTTTTTCTTAAAATACAAACGACATCACTACTTTAATATACATTAGGAGGAGGGGAGGATTTGAATGTTAGATGCATTGAGTTGAAGAGAGAAATACCCTAACCACCAAAGTAAACTAGTACTTGCGAGCTCTACCCAAACTTTAGCTGTACCAAGTATGCAAAGGAACGACCACAAGCCTAGCTCCATGCCTAGATGATCCTGGCCTCCTGAGCCTTGAACTGATTCTGAATTTCTGATTAGCGCTTGGTTTAGGAGTGTGATCAATGATCGATCATGCCCTTGTCCACTTGCAAATTTTTTTCAATTTATTTCAATAGCTGGTGGATTTAGCGGATAGATCATAGGTGGTGACTGGTTTTCTTGTGAAATTTAATTACTTTTTGGATTCTAGCGTGCTCGCACGCATTCACACACAGGTATCAAAATTCATTCTAATTTTCAAAATAATGTCTCAAAATTCTAATACCAATATACACCCAGTATTACATATTACAAGACATTAAACCAAAAGAACAAATGAATAATCTCTCAACTCACAAACAAATTTAGGCAAAATGGTGTGGGGGCTATAGCTAGCCTAGAATATTAACAATCTTGTGTAAAAAAACAAATTTAAATTCAAATGGACATACATGTCACATACACATATGTGCTTAATTTAATTGGGAAAATCGAGCGGTTGAGTTTTCTTGGCTACTACTTTTGCTGTTAGGGGAGTGCATCATCATCGTGTTCATGTCCGTTGAGTTTGTTGAAGGAGAGAGCTCGCCGCCGGCGGGTAAGTCAGAAAGAGCAGCAAGCATCCGGCGAATACTAACAGAGCGAGCTGGTTTGAAGCTGTGGGACCTCTTGGTAGTTTTGGAGAAGATATTGGATGAGTTGGAAAGGATGAGATATACCAAGGCCTGAACAAGGATGAACATGCCTACCTTCACCAGCACATCTGCGAAGCAGCTTTCCATCATCATCAGCATCATAATTTCCCAAAATTAAATCAGACAACTTTAATTGGGTGGAAGTGGACGAGTGAATGAATGAATGAATTGGAAGCAAAACTATATATCCAAACAAGTATTCATAAATATATATATATAGAGATGGGATTATGGAGGGCGGGAGGGAAGGAGGTAGGGAGGGGAGGGGAAATGGAACGTGGAAAACATGGAAAACATGGCATGGGATGTTGGAAGGCAAGCAAGCCAACCTTTTTGACTTGCCGTCACAATCTAGAACTTGTGCTTACGTGCTTATTATGTTGACCATTTATTGAAAGTTGAAAAGTAAACCAGTAGCTGAGCTGTAAATATATGAATAAATGTGAGTTTGCAAGGAAAGGGAAGGGAAGGAGGCAACTAGTTTGAATTCGTTCTAGTGATTCCTTCCACGGCTCTACCATAAAATTAGCCACAACTTGAACTTGAACTTGGTCCTTAGCAAAACCAATTTCTCTCTCTCTTTCACGCCTTGACATGAAACCTAATTGACTTGACCATTCCTTTTTAACGGTTTTCTCCATTCATATCACATTTCTAAAGGAAAAATTGGAAATCGTCAAATCCAAAAAGTCATATCCATTCACCTTTTCAATCATCCTCTTAACCAAAAAACATACTAGCACATTTAATTCTAATAAGAGGCTTAGGCTAGGAAAATCTAAAGAATTAAGAAAAAGAAGAAGAAAAAAAAAAGGTGGCGGCCACAATGCACAATGCAGAGCCGTGGATTGTTAAAACAGAAGTTGCATTCCTGGGTGGATAAGCTGCTTCACATCCACAACACACATCACCACAGGCACCTCACAAACTCCACTGCTTCAAAACAACTTTGATTTCATGCATCACCAAACCAAAGAGGCGGACAATCCTTCCATTTATTAACTGAAAATTGAACCCCCAGCTCTGAAAGGGGGAGATGGGGACAGTTGACCTACACCAAGGAACAATCCTCTGCAGATTTACACTTGAGTTTTATCAGGACAATCAACATTCCTCAAACACTTCTGCTATAAATTCCCTGCATTCACATATTCAAATAGATACATTAGTTAAATCAAACTACAACACTTGCTCTTTTATCTTTTCAAAATTGATAAAATGTATCTCAGGTGACATAAAAAGTAAACCCCACTTGGGCCATCACCATTTAAGCATAGAAAGCTAGGCTGGATATGTTCCGAAAGATTCCCCATGCAGACAATTTCAATGTCTTGTTTTTGCCTGGAGTAAAACTACTAGAATAACAAAGCAAAATAAAGAAAACAAGATTTCGCCCCAACTTCAGGCTGCACTTGCCAGAACCTTGAAGGTGGTACACGAGGCAACTTATGTTACCTTGAATATACTAATCCCAAATTCTGAATATGTCCTGTTAGAAAATCCTCCCAGTAAAAAAGGTCGTACCCAGTGCACAAGGCTCCCGCTTTACGCATGGTCTGGGAGAGGTGAATGTCGGCTAGCCTTACCCCCATAAGTAGAAAATCCTCCCAGTACAGACTTCAATATAAATATAACACACGAACCACAATGACGGGTAGAAATTTGTTGATTGCAAAAAGAATAGCCAAGTGTGATAGAGGCAAAATGGAAAAGACTAGCTCATTAAAATGGAAAATGATATAACTATCCGGCACTTGTGGTTTAAGAATAGTAGCACTCATAAAACTAAAATATGGATGGCAAATCAATATAAGGTGGGCGGGAAAATAGTACAGGTGGTCAACTGGGCATAGTTGCACAACCAAACCCAAGCAAAATAAAATGGCTTTAGTAAACCCTTAAACCAAGACCTTTCTAAATGGCCGATGACATTAACTTTCTCCAAACAATCCAAGAGCATATCAGACCACAAAAGTGACTTCCAAGCTGTTCAAGCTTCTTAGCAATCTAATAGGAGCCTAAACTCATGCCCTGCCTCAGCAATAAATCCGATAGACACAGGACAGGCCTAAGTGGGGGACCAGCAGGTCATGGAACCCCACATTGAGGAAGGAGTTTCAAAAAAATAATTTACTATATATGTGATTGTGAACAGAAAAAGAAATCTGAAAAAAGCATTCCTGGTCATTGTAAAGAGGTCCTTTTTTTCAAAAGAGAAAGGCCCAAAATATTACGAAATGCAACCATCAAATTCCAAAGTTTCCATGGTTTGCTAGTAGAGTTATTTCTTCAACTCTACAGATATAATTTCCCCCTACAACTTCTCAATGTGGAGGTTACCTGAATCTTCTTCCCATGTTAAACCAGTACATTAGTATATGTTCCCAGTATGCTTATCCGATGATAAGAATTTTTACCATGTAATGTCCCTAAGCCTAAGGTTCAACTTTTGAAACTCAATAATATATTTCTTTGACAAGTTTTTTTTTTCTTTTCTTTTTGACCAATTGTCATTTCTTAATGATGTAGATTTCCTTACAAGTCTCTAGGACAGACCCTGTAAAGGCATCCCAAAGGAAAAAGAAAGTAAACAGACTAGACTATTGACCACTGATCATACGTTTCAGCCATGATAAATTAGGCATGATAGTACTAACAAAGCTAAAGAATGGAGCATCTAGGAAACAGCTTGAAGAAGAATAACACTCAAGCCACCCACACAAAACAGTCAAAATGAGCTCAACTGGCAGTCGCAGAGACTTGACTTCACTGGAAGCATAATCTCTGGTATGATCTAAAATAGAACCCAGGAAAATGTTGTCCATACCCATGCATAATATTGTTTACTATAGTATTCTAACCCTACAACTCAGTAATCCTGCATAAAAATCAACTCTTTTCTAGTTTTAATCATAGCTTTATAATTTATATGCACCAAAACTACACCAGTAAATGTTAATTACTTAAGGGCCAATGCTTTTTGCTTCTCTATATCCAAGAATCTCAACGTCGTATAGTAAATCGTGGAGGAAACTGTTGGAAACTATCTAAAACCTAAATAATGTTTTCATTGATATGAATATGAGTCTTTGGTAGCCAACGAACTAGCAACACTCACTAAAATTTATTCCTTTAAAAGTATTGTAAAATTTTAGATGCAATGTAGTGAATGGGTGTATGTATCTCCAATTGTCCATGTTAAGACTGTTGAGAATGAATGCTAATAAGAGGTTGGGCTACTCCTCATATTGACAATTGGTTTTATGGTGGAAAACCAACTTTCTTCAAAGACTTGTCTGAAACGGTGGCTTTGTTTTTTGGAACTGCTAATTACGACTAGAAGATATGCTCAAGTTTGCTGAAAGCTATAAGACCGTTGATTTGTTTGATTAGTGAAGTACAGAGCAGAAAGCAATCAAAGAAACTCAGTAAGCTGAAAGACGAAGCTGGGTGTTGAGAGAGATGCAAGCAACAGGCAATGCAATTCATAACTTAATACAATACAACACACATACAGCAGAGAGCAGACAACAACAATATAAGATTTGATTAACGACAAAGAGAAGGAAAAGGAAAACAAAGCAACCGTTGAAAGAAGAATCGGCATTGGCATTGGCATTGAAATTGGGGGCTGCGGCAGGACCCAAATGTGCTTGGTTGGCCATGTGTCTTCCACCGGCCGAAATGTAGTTGGGACGGAGACTGGTTCCATAGGAGGAGGAGGACCCATATTCCGTAAACCAATCGTTGAGGTCCTCGTCGTCGTCATTGTCGAAGTTGAAGCGCAAGGGGGTATGGTGGCCAAGCTGAAGCTGGTGGTGCTGAGTTTCGGTGGGGAGCTGGAAGCGGCAGAGAGGGCAAGAGCTGTGGGAAGAGAGCCATGGGAGAATGCAGTGGGGGTGGTACAGGTGGTTGCAAGGAAGCTGCTTGGCGTCGACGGAGTGGAGAAATTGTTCCTTGCAGACGGCGCAGAGGAGAAGAGGGTCACGATCGAGCATCGAGGAGGTGATCTTGAGGGTGGGGATGGAGTCGACGGAGGCCTTGGAGGCAGGGAGGGAGGAAGGGGGAACGGAGGAGGAAGAGGCGGTGGCAGAAGGGAGGAGGTCATCGTGGTTGATGGGGTGGGTGGAGAGGTGGTGGATGAGTCGATGTAGGAATGGGCTGTTGAGGAGGTAGTTATCGCTGTGGGGATGTGGCTGGTGTGGTGGCGGTTGGAGGATGAGGGAGTCGTGCTGAAGAGAATCAGAATCCATGAGCTCCAAGAGGTCGCTGAAGCAGTGAGGGCAGAGAAGAGTGTCCCTCTCCCTCTCCCTCTCCCGGGAAAAAGAAGTGGGCAAAGGCAGGAGGCTCACGCTCATGTCGCACTCGTGGCACCAGAACGTCTGATGATGGTGATCATCCATAATCTGATATTCACCAATTTTTGGTAATTTTTTTCTGGCAATTTTTGGAAAATGCAGGGGAAGGAAGAGGAGGGAGGAGGAGGCGGCCAGGGACGTCCCACTCACCACCAGGCAGCAGTGCAGGGGGACTACTTCTTGGACTTTCTTTTGGACTTGGGCTTGCTGATACGAGGGCATTCTCGTCATTACGTTTTTCCTCCCACCTAACCCAAGTTCCCTCAGGTACCGTTTGGTACGCAGACGGGACGGGACGGGACGGCACGGAACGGGACGGGATGGGACGGCACGGAACAAATGATGTAAATATTAAAAAAGATAAGGTGAAATTTTGTCATAAAATGCTATAAATTTATGTTCCAAGGATGTGGAATGGGTCGTTCCAGGGGGAAGAGGTGGAACGAAAAATCAGCCAAATTTCGTCCCATGGGACAACCCGTTTCACAGTTTTTAGGCGCATCAAACGTGAGACGGAACGGCTCGTCCCGTTCCGTCCCGTCCCGTCCCGTCCTACGTACCAAACGGTACCTCAAATCCATTGGGGATTTATCGGTCTTTACTTTTTTTTTTTTTTTTTTTTTTTTGAGGAAGATTTTCCGGTGTTTCTTAACACGAGCAAATGTGTCAAATATCAATCATGGATACTTGAAAAAAAAAATTATCCCCGACCAACTCCAATGGTAGTGTTAAAACTCAAAATTTTTAGTTTTAATCTCACTCGTCTACTTAGTATTATGGTCTATTAGTTTCCTCTTCATTTGTAAGTGAGAGATTTTATGTTTGATTCTCGCCAAAGGCGAAG